TGTGTACCAAAGAAATAAAAACCACTGTTTTTACAGCTATCAATGGAAGTTACGGACTGGTCACAGCAGTGAGCTTCCTACAGCCTCCCATACTTAACAGATTTATCAGAAGAAGCAATTGCAAATTCCTTCATTTCAGAGCCCAGCCCCAAACTGGAAACTTCTTGTGACTGCTCCTGAGAGGCAATTAGAACTTCAGGTATTCAGCAAAGTGACCCCCTCCCCTGAGTGCTGGATCACCCGCCTGAACATCTGCAGTTCTTATATCCCACTTCACTCCGTGCTTTGCACGTTTATACCAAATAAAAGAAACCTCCAAGCTCTTCCTCCAGCCACAGCTGCAACTTCCCAAGCCTGACAGAGTTCAAGAAGCATTTGGATGATACTCTCAGGCATGTGGTGTGACTTGGGGATGGTCCTGAGTTGGCTAAGAGTTGGACTCGATGATCCTTGTAGGTCTCTTCCAACTCAGTGTATTCTGTGATTCTGTGTGATTCCATGTGATTCCCTATGCCCCCACACTGTCCCACCTGCTTGGGTGTTGCTCCCCTCTCCTGCGCTGCTCCTCGATACAGGACTCCACCTTCCCTGAGCAAGGTTCCATCTCCAGGTGCATCCAGATGCTCCCCCACTCCCGGTGAGATGCCCTCACTATCGTTTCTTGAGAGATGCTCAGGAATCGTCCCATCGACCGCTCCCCTCCGGCAACTCCGTACAAAAGGTACACCCATACGACTCCCGAGATCTGCCCCCAGAAGGGCCCGCCCGTCCTTATCCTCACTGTTCACACCTGGGGCTGCCCTGGCACCTCCTCACCGTCACTGTTCACACCTGGGGCAGGCGCGCTAAAGGGGCAGAGCCCGCGGGCCGCGGAGATCTGTCGGGAAAGGCATCTCTTGCTCTTTCCCCGCTCCCCTCCGACCTCGCTGCAGCCGCGGCAGCGCCCCGCTCCTCCCGCGGCTCCCTGCCCGCCACCGCCGGTGCGCGAAGGCGGCGAGCCCGCAGCGGAGCTTCCCTCCTGGGCGGCAGCCCCGCCGTGCGGCACCCGCAGCTCCGCAGCTCGGTCACCAGGCGGCGGCGGCGGCCAAAGCACCGCGGATGGGCCGCGCTCCCGGACAGCCCGCGGTGACAGCGCGGCCCCGCTCCTGGGGCAGAGCCGGCTGAGCCCTCGGAGTGGGGCCGCGACCCCTCCGCGAACCTGCCGGGTCCTGGCACTGCGCCGGGACCTGCATTAACCATGGGTGGTTCCGAACAGAGAGGGTGACGGCATGAACTGCGCTGCCAGAGTGAGGGTGCACCTGCTCTGGGTCACGGCATTAGAGCACCATTAGCAAGGTATTTCCACAGAGATTCTGCTCGAAGTTTCCTCATACATTTTGCTTTCTGCGCTCCATGCCAACATCACATTCAAGTATCCGATTATAAATGTTGCCATTCCAAAGAAACCGCTACGAAATCTATCAATAAATTAAATTCCTGTTTAAGCCTTTTACAACAGATCTGCTGCAGTTGCCTCAGCTTTTGGAAAACTTTTATGTTAAAATTTAAAACATCTAGAGAAGTCTACAAAAATACACAGCTGCACGACAACTTTAAAGGAAAGAAGTCAAGTGAAGGAATTTATCATGTACTTCATTCAATTTATACAAATAAAGAACTGTGATTCTTAAAGCATAAAACCAGATGTGAACTATTAGCAGTAAACAAAGACATCTCTGATAATTCATCTTTTAACAGAAAGTACTTACATTTTTCAAACAATGCTGCAAGCAGCACAGCTCAGCTGCGTATTTGCAATCTGACAAGTATCTTGCCTTTTTTTGGGGGGGGGGGGGCATAAGAAATCAGGGAAAAAAACTCCTTCCATTAATAGAAAAACAGAAAATTAGTTAAAGTCATCACTCAAGGATTTTCCAATTACTATATGCTGCACAGTAGAATCTCTTTAAAAACCATGAGCATGGGACCAGAGATGCCACCAGGCCCCACAGGAACAGGGCACATTGCTCAATCCCTGCAGTGCATCCCTTCCTGCCCTAGGCTCCCAGGTGCAAAGCGAGGGCAAAGGCAACAGTGTTTCTTCAGTCACACATGTAACCAGTTCCTGCAGCAAGTCTGCTCTGTCCCTTGGTGCCCCCAATGCTGTCCCTGCCCCTGGGACACCTTGGCAGTCACTCCTGGAGCCACACTCCTCAGTCTAGCAGGGAACTGCTGGGTGGTAATCCCCTGGTTGGGCCACAGGCTGCTGGGCAGAGGTGGAGGCTGTCAAAAGTGCAGAACAGGGGGCAGGATGAGAGAATTGAAAAGTGGTGGCCAGCTGGACCATGCAGGGATAGTGAGAAAGCACAAGGCAGGGAATGAGACAGCAAGGGAAAGACAGAAAAGACAGGGACAAGAGAAAGGATAGAGGAACAAGAGGGGACCAAAAAAAAGCACTATAGAATCATCTTGTAAAAGAACTTGGAGATAATCAAAGTCCAACATTTAGGTCAGCACTGCCAAGTCCACCACTAAACCATGTCACTTGAAGGCACCAACACCTGCCTGTTTGGGAATTGTACCTGGAAGCACAGGAGAGAGAGGAGGAGAGGCAGAAAGATGGAGTGGGAGCAGGACAGAGACAGGAAAATAAGGATAGGGTGCAGGATGAAAGTGAAATGGGATGGGCTGCATGGCAGAGAGGGATTAAAAAATAATAGGGGCAGGGAAAAGAACAGAAGGATACAACGAGAAACAGTGGCACAGGGAGCAGGACAGGGCAAGAGAGAATAAAAAAGGAAGAGGAGGAATGAGAGAGGCATGGAGAAGGACAGATAAAAGGACAGAGCAACAGGGAAAGAGTAACAGGGAGCAGGACACTGGGTCAGAATGAGAAAAAGAAGGGCAGGGAGCAAGACAGGGTGGTAAACACACATGAAGGACAGAGGGATACAAAGAAGGGAAACAACGCAGAGAGAGAAAATCACCGTGGATGGAGGGTGTGGGGGAAGACAGGGGCAAGGAGCAGAAAGGGATAGAAAAAGGGAGGGATGGGCAGCAAGACAGAGGGTTATAAAAAGGAAAGTTGAACATGGGAGAAGGACTGATAAGTAGAGACAGAAAGGTATTTGGACAAAGATGGAAAAGGTACAAACAGCAATGAGCTGGAGGAGCTGCTTCTGATAACCTGTTATTCTTGATGTCACTTCCATGGCTTCAAAAACGGGACATGGCACAAGAAAGAGGAAAGGGTGAGTGAAAGAAAAGGCACAGGGAATTTTACAAAAA